TTTGCCGTTTGCCGTTTGCCGTTTGCCGTTTGTCGTAAACGTCATCCTTAACCTCCCTAATATTCTAGCTCTTTTACGGCTAACGGTTAATTTATTTTCCTTACGGTTAACAGAAATCTTAGAAATTAATAACCATTGTTCCGAAAAAAAAAAAAATAAAACTTAACTTTCATCGTTTAAAAAAGTTAAAAACTGTAAGACATATTTAAGGTCTTAAAACCATTCCAGTTCAGAAAAAAGTCTTGACAGGAGGTCTTGAGACTTTTACGGTTAGCATATTTTTACGGCCAGCTAACGGTTAAATGTTTCCAATCTCCGAGCCTAACGGCTGAATTTTTGTCCGTTTACGGCTAACGGTCAACCCCATTCAGACCCTCCTATTGAGCCGTTGAATTAACACCACAAAGTTCTACCAGCCTTTCCTCGTAAATAGGGTAAACCTGACTTTTCACTTCGTCCTTGATGTTGACCGCCTTGATCAGAAATCAACTTATCATATGGATGCATTCAGAATAAATATAAGGAAATTTTGGCCAGCTGTTATTGGAAGCTATTATTGGAATGACATTCCTCTATCAATATGTAATAGCCAACTAGAAAACTATTTTAAAAAGCACTATACCATTTTTATTTAGTATCGCTGTATATTTTACGAGTTGTGCCTTATTGTTGACGAGCCGTAGGGTGAGTCAAAGTACTAACAACGAGTAAAAATATAAAGCGATACTACACAGCAAAGCATCTAATAAGAGAGATATATTATCCAACTGCTATAGTCACTAAATTTATCAGTAAGAGGGAGAGTGTGACAGTTTTGCCTGCGCGCGCCGACCAGTTCGGCAAACAGGTTTGCTACTGTACAAATAACCGTACAATATCGCTGTAAATACGGTATTCGCTGCAGTTGGATAATAAAACTGATACAAATGCAGATGCACATATGCTGTGTCCTCGGTTTCGGTTTCCTCAGTGAAAACAAAAAACAGAGACAAACGAAAAAACGACACTTTTTTCCGTTGCCGAAATTGTCACTATCGCCATGGACTCACCGTAGCTATGAACATCGGCTTTATGGGAGTAACGGCCTCCAGATTTCACCACTTCAGGCGCCATGTAACGGTAGGAGCCAATCTGAGTTTTAGTTTGACGTGTTCCTTCTGTTGCACGAGCCAGACCAAAGTCTCCGAGCTTGAGAACTGTGTGATCAACGGACAACTGGAAAAAAAAGAAATCAACTTTGCAAACAGAGTTGTTACTTGATGATCAAGCTCATCTGATACATAATAAACTTAACAGATTTGTATCGAGCAAAGTAAATAAAGTCTTTAATTCCGTCACAAAACTGTAGCTTTTGCATGGAGATGTTACAACATTTCAGATTTCTAAAGGCTTGTTTTACTACGTGTCGTTCCTTATTGCCAAAAAAGAGCCTCTTAATTTTACAGACCCCCCTAAGACTATTGGTTCTCCAGGCCATAAGAAGCGACGCGCTGGTCCCACGCAGGTTGATCACCATAACCATCACTTTAAAACCTTTTTAAAACCTAGTAAGTTGTCACAGAAGGTTACCACATTATTTCCCATAGATACATGTAGATGAGAAGAGACAATACGGCGTCACTTTCCGTGCAGGCACCTATTTTGTTGTCGTTTCTGTACTCTAGTTACAGTCAAACCAGGTGAAGCGTACCCCTCAAGATTACATTAATGAATTGATTATTTGAATATCGAACCCGCTAGTCGTTTCCGGAATGCAATAATGAACTGATTATTGGAAAACTGAACCCACTAGTCGTTCCAAGAATACGGCTCATGGGTTTAATGTTCAAAAAAATCAATTTAATATTGATTTTTGAAATGACAAGCGAGCTCAATACTCAAATCGCTAATCAATTCATTTTGCATTCTTGAAAGTGAGAAACACAAACACAACAACAAAACCCAAAAGGCGAGCTGAAGACAAATTAAACGCCCTTACAAAGATGTTTTCAGGTTTCACGTCTCTGTGGATGATATTCAGTGAGTGTAGATGTTCAAGAGCAGAACCAATATCCTCGGTGAATCTCAATGTAAACTTTTTTCCTTGTCCTCGTCCCTGGTTTTTATCGAGCAGCACTTTAAGATTTCCTCCCGCCATGAACTCCATCACAATCGCCAGCTGATTCTGAATGGAGATGCATTCAATCACTTCCACGATTTTGGGATGCTTTGCTTCCCTGAAGAGAGAAGAACACACGCAAAGCATGTACTCATTTTGCTCTTCGTGTTTGCTTTTTTAAGGTGCTGGAGTGACTTCAACGTTTCTCGCGGCGCCGAAAGACCAAATGAGCATACTTCACAAGTGAAAGTTATCTTTCCAGTTTTAAAGGCAGCAGTTGTAAAAATAGTCCTTGACCTTTCCGCCTTAACAGTGCAAAAGCTTATCAGCTTAGTCAGGCCTGGTTCACACTAGCAACATAACGACATAACCATTTGACATAATGGTATAACGACCGACATAATCGCTTATGTCGGTCATGGGAACATCGACATAAAGACATAAAGAAAAGATCAGTTTTTTTGCTTATGTCGTTACGTTCATGCTGTTATGTTGCTATTTTGCCATTATGTCGGAATGTTCACACTGCAAACATAACGACATAACGTATTTCTTATGTCGTTATGTCTTAACTCGCTATAAGTTGAACTAGGCTTAATGAAGTATTCAATATCACGTCAATTAGGAGGTTTACAAGCCAAAATCCTTAAGAGAAGATAGAAACAGGTCGCGAATCACTAATTTTTGCACTGTTACAGTGCTCCTAACAGTTATTACAACTGAAGACATACAAATCAAGCACAAACCTAAGCATGTCAACTTCTCTTTCAAAGTCCTGGATCTGTTTGCGGTTCTCGATGTTCTTTAAAATCTTGACAGCCACCGGCCGGCCGTCTTTCTTAGCTTGGAACACCTGCCCAAAGCTGCCTTCACCGAGTGGCTCGAGATAGCCTGGGTCGAGCTGGCTCCTAACTTTCTGACTGATACGAGTCAGTGTTTCCAGTGCATCCAGGTCTTTTTTCTAGAAAAGAAATATAAGGGTACATAATGCTGAGGGTCTAAATAAAGAACATATGTTAATAGAGTTCCACAACTTCGTTGCGGCAAAAGAAAAGGCTCTTGCACCGTAACGGTCCGTTTTAACCATTTGACAGCTACAAGTTAGCGACGAGCGTGATGTGGATCGTAAGTTATTGTACTATAAATAGTAAAATAGGTCGTTCTAAATAGTCTGGCTTCTCACGGCATTCAATACCACTGATGTTGTTAATGTGCGCACGATCAGCTTCAAAGAAACGTTGCTAAATTTATTGCCTGATTTCAAGCCGAAAAGGATTAGGTACGAGTCTTCAAATTATGGGATTAGCAGCTATTGATCCACATAGTAAGTGCACACCAAGCTTTACAAAATCCCCAAGTTTGGTGCAAATAGACCCAATAGTAAGCAATATACAACCATTTGAAAACAGCAAAATTTACAAAAAAAAATGTATGACCATCCGGACGCTGTCTCCCGGATGACCAAATATTTCTGTGTAATTTTGGCGTTTTTAACTGGCTGCATCTCAGTCAAAACTAGACTGATTAACACTTAACTTGGAGATTTTGTGAATCTCGGTGTGCTCTTTCGGACTACGTGGATCAATAGTTGCTAATCCCATAATTTACCGACTCGTACCTAGTCCTTCTCGGCTTGAAATCAGGCAATGGCAAGGAGGTTGAAAACTTCCACTTGCATGAAATAAACGGTAATCGTGTTGAATGTTAAAGTCACCATGGATACTAAAGCACTTTAAGGCAACCATAATGGCGTTCCCACACAACAGTTTATCTCCCTTGAGAAATGATTTCAAATTTCGTAGGTAAAGGCTTCCAATGCGTTAGTTTGAAAACATCGATATGGCGCCATGAGAGTAGCCAGTCTGCCAGAGGAAAGTCATTTCATTAAGAAAAAAATATGCTTGGCTCATCAGAGCGTAATACGAAATTCACCACATGATAGTATGCGATTGATATGGACAGACAAAGTTCATGTAAATTAAAGAGGCTGCAGAGCATACAAATTGTAAAACTTACTTCAATGGCATCGATGCCAAATTTTTTCTTCAGCTCCGCACTCTCTTTCATAATCGCAGTGGCGAGTTTCAGAGTGGAATCCTCGTTGCTCCAGGCGTTTGCACGACTTCTTTCGTAAACTTTTCGTTTGTTCAACACCTCCTCTCCATTGATGTTAATCAGATGATTAGCGAACTTTCTGTCTTCTGGGGAAGAAGCAGTCTCTGCATAACATATGGCTTCATCTGTGCCACCTGTATGCCAAAAAAGTAAGTAACTAAACTTAAGCCAGGGTGGCCGCCCACTTTGCATCCGACTGGTTTCCAGCGGGGGCCTGGGCACTGAACTGCCATGTGAATATGTCAGTTGTCAGCCCATAACGCTGCGTGACTTTTCACTGTGTTTTCGTGATCCTTGTACAGTCAAAATATATCATCTTTTTATTTTTATACTTTTCTCTCGGCCCAAAACTTAACATTTCAATTCATTTTTACCATGAGACATACACTTCATAACGTTGGCGTAACGAGAACTACTTTGGTCAGAATCTGATTCAGAGATATTTATTGTTTTGCACTATTTCAACCTATTTGTTTTGACTTATTTCTGATTTTTTTCTTTAAACCCTGTGAACATAAATGAGATACCTTTTAAGCGGATGAGGGCAAATGTCTCCTTCTCAACTTCCTGTACTTGGTAGGTTTCTTGGTCACCAACAATGAGAATTTCCAGGGAGCTGTTACTTCGCATGAACGATTTACAAAGCAAAATGGCTTTTGCGTATTTACTGATGGAAATCTTGCATTTCTGAAGAATTTTTTGCTTTTCATCTTCTGGTAGAGGAGGTGACCGTTCCGCTGTCTTCCAGAGTTCAATCTCCTTCTTCACCCCGTGGTAAAAGAACAGGGCGGTGACACTGGTCTGTGATTCAGTTATAAGCTGCAATTACGGAATGCATCTCATTTTAGTCATTCCTCCTGTGCCTTAAATGGCAATTGTCCGGAGGTCAACGTAACACTTACCTGAATCAGGTTGTCACGCCTTCCTTTCATTGCATCCAACGTCCGCTGTACCTTTTCCTCAGAATAAACACCTACGAAGGTAGAGGATGAGCGGATTAGGCTTGACTATAGGCAAGAATTTCCTTGATTCTCCCTCCCTCTCTACCCCTTCCTCCATTCCATCCTTTCTCTCCCAATCAGTTATTTCCTCCCTCATTCACTCCCTTCTTTCCTAACTCTGTCCCTCACCCAATTCCCCCTTCCGTCCCTTCGTCCCTCCCTCCTTTCTCCTTCTCCCCATTTTCTATTACCTCTCTTTCGGCCCGTCCATCTATCTCTCCTTGTTTATTCATGTTTCCCACCCCTATTCGACACTATCAAAGTAAATGAGACAGTTAAGCGACTGGCTAATATTAGAAATCCCCTGCGAGGTTGCTACAATGCATGCTAAAATAAACAGTAAAATAATAAAAACTTACCGAAAGGATCTTTTGCAAACATGTCTTGTATGGCAGGACGTGAGATCTGTTCAAAGTACTCGTCAGGTGACAATGCGTTTGTTATATTGATTGTGTGAAATATAATCTCTGAGGCCATTTTCTCCAGTGTAAGTTGTTGTTGAAGATATTCTTCCCGTTGGATTCGCAAGTAAGATCTTTCATAAACCTTGGGGACGAAGAGTTGTGTTTAATTTTTTTTTTTCAGTTTGATAAAAGGGGTGAAACTATGACAAACGAAAGTCTTAAGAGTTGAACGAAGTCGAACAACAAAGATCCGCCTTAGGATTTGACAGAGTACGTCTGTCACCCGGTAAGTCCGTCCGTCCGTCCGTCAGTCAGACAGTCATTGTGTCAGTCAGTCAATTTGTCAGTCAGTCAGTCAGTNGAACAAGTCAGTTGATGGACGATTTGAGATAAGCACCGTGACTGTCCTTTACGAACCAACCGTAAGCATAAAGGCCATTTCATAAAGACTGTATTGAAATCCGTATTTTCTGAAACTTGCTTAAAAGTACAGTAACTGATTGGAAAACAACTAACTAAATACTTTCACCTTGTCGTTTCACGATGAACAAATGCCTGCACGAGCTGGAATATTGAAGTTTCTCGACAAGAACGGACACATGCAGATCATGAAGTTGAATTCTAGTAATACAGTTTAACACTTCTAAGGCAAACCTAGTCCGACACAGTCTGTACAAAGGGCTTTACATCAAGCCCGTTTAGAGGACACTTCTTCAGTGAACGAGTTACTGCTTATTTTTGTTTCTTTTTCTAATGATCGATTATTATAATATTTATGTGTCTGGTCCGTTTTAGATGACACGTTTCTCTGTAAATTAATCCGACTGACTTTGAAATTTCTGACACTCTGAATTCGATTTCTTGAAAGGAATTCTTGGGCGATCAACGCTATTGTTGAATTAATTTCAGGAAAGAGAACAGTCAGTAAATTTATTTTTCTCAGAAATCGTCTTACAACGGTTGATCGGTACAATCATTGTCATATACCCACTCGTTTTAAACCGACCGTAATAGTAACAATACATTAAATTTGGATATCGTTGAATTTTCCATCGAATGGAAAGTGCCCATGATGAAGGATAAAGAAGAAACTGTAATCAAATAAATGATTTGAATTTTTATATAGCAACAACTGTTCGCGACTCCACCGTCCTTTGCCAAAAAGTCCATTCCCACATATTTTTAAACCTCGTTTAAGTTTGCATCAATTACCGGAAGTTGCGTGCACACACCCTGTTTCTGTTTGGGTTATAACTGCTTCCGCGAATGCTGAAACAGCGAAAACAAAAAAGGGTGTTTTTGCTTCTTAAGTTACAATTATTAAAACGTGGCAGGCGCAATAGCTCATCCCATTATTTAACCCCTGAGTCGGTGGCTTCTGTACGTGGCTGGTCGCCTTTGTCGTGTACATTTCCATCTTCATCCAAAGAGGTATTGCTTATTTTTGTTTCTTTCTCAAATGATCGACTTTTAGATGTGTCTGACGATGAATTGCTACTTGCTTTTAAAGAGCTTTTGGAAACTAGAAATCCCATTCAAAATTTCTTGAATGACCGACACTCTCCGCAGTACAACCGCATATCGAATCGTGTTCGCCATCCTTGTCGTCTTTGATATAGTTTAACCAAACGACACAGAAAAATTGGCGATACACCTTTGTAAGCAAGCTAAAATGGGCTGGATTTTAATCCTAAGCACACGAGAAAAGGAACAAGCTTATGAGATCGACCTTTTCAATTTGCGACTGACATGAAGAGGTTAACATACGTTAAAACGAAAGAAATGTTACTTACACGTACGTTGATGAACTTTAGGTAAGCTTGTAAACTGAAAGTGCTAATCAAAGCAATTTCATTTTCCACGCCAAGCTATTAAATTCCCGGAAGAGGGAATTTTCCCGTTCTGTGTTGGAGTCGTCACGCAAGCGTGACGACCCAAAATGACAGCAGCGAAGAAGACTACGTAACCAGGCAATTTCCATAAAGCGCGCGTCGAGATCCGTCGAATGTGCTTGAGTAGAATGTCGAGGAATGGATTGCAAAGGAATTATTTACCGTTGTCTCATCCGCAGAGAGTCTTACTACAGAAGAGAAGCTTATACTGACTGACCTCCAGTAGGCCGTTCTGTTTTTCCACGCTGCATTTGACTGCCGATCAGTACCTTTGAGGCGCAAACAAACTGAAGGTCGATGGCCCAACAAATCAACGGAGAAGTACATGTAAGCTTAAGACTCACTTATACATGGCTCATTTAATACTTGAGAGGCGCGGTGGCCTAATGGTTAGTGCGGTCGTCTCCGGATCGAGCGGTACGGGTTCGAGCCCTGGCCGGGGACATTGTGTTGTGTTCTTGGGCAAGACACTTTACTCTCACAGTGCCTCACTCCACCCAGGTGTATAAATGGGTACCGGCGAACTTAATGCTGGGGGTAACCCTGCGATGGACTAGCATCGCATCCAGGGGGGAGTAGAAATACTCCTGGTCGCTTCATGCTACAGAAACCGGGATAAGCTCCGGCGTGATGGGCCACTTGGCTCGCATGGAGACTTTACTTTACCTTTTTACCTATTTAATACTTGCAAACCATAAACAGCTGACTTATTAAATCATTGTCAGGCTTACGAGTGGGAGTCTAAAGTAAGACCCAAATGATCGATATCGTAGCAGCACCCATCCTTCCGGGCCAACCTTTTGTTTGTTTGTTTGTTTGTTTGTGTTTTAAATCACAAATTCCTGGGAAGAGGACAAATGAATGGATCATATAGCCCTTGTTGACAGCAGGAAAGAAGGCAAATGCTCCACACCCATTCACAAGGAGAAAAAAACAGAGGGTAGCCGGGTCTTTAAATTTGTGGGTTGGCACTGGTTACTTTTTGCTAGACTGAATCTTTGATCATGTAGAGTTGTAGCGTTACACAAGCCAATCGCGAGCCCAAGTCAACCGTGAGTCATGAGTCAACATCGAGTCAACCACCAGTCAAGCCAGTTTTTTCTTTTTCTTTTACAATCTTTTTTTTTTCTTTTTGGGACAAAATAATAATGATGATGATGAGGAGGAGGAGGAGGAGGAGGATGGTAATAGTAGTAGTAATAATAATGATGATGATGATGATGAGGATGATGATGATGACGACAATGATGACGACAATGATGACGACGACGATGATGATGACAATGATGATGACGACGATGATGACGACAATGATGACGATGATGATGACGATGATAATAATATTAAAAACTGGCTTGACTCGTGGTTGACTTGAGGTTGACTCGTGATGCAAGGCTGACTTGGGCTTGCGGTGGGCTCATGTAATGCTACAACTCAAACACGTAGATGTACTTTTTAGCTTTTTAATATTTTGTTGCCCATTTCAGGTCACGTGATGATACTCTTGAGAATTCTTTGTTTGAAATTGCAAAATAGCCATGTGTATACAAAATTATGAATTTTGGATCAAAGAACAATTCTTTGGAGAATATCACATGGTCTGTAAATGGGAAAACAAACCACCCAAACTGAAAAGGTCTGTTAATTAGAGTGGAACCTCTGCCCCATGGCCGTACATCCTTTGGAACAGAAGAAGTTTCTGCTAATGATTATTAGGTGTCTGTTTACATAGGCATATGGGCAGGGGATGAGGGAAGGGTACAGGGTACAGCCCCCCCCCCCCCCCCCCCCCCNTGATTCGGGCAAAAGTACTCAGGAGAAAACATTCTAAAAGGTTGTCAATGCCAGGGTTGTAGGCTACCTTGTCTGACATTTGCCTTGTCAAAACAGAATTAAAGGGATAGTTACACACTTTGATGCCTGTGCAAGCTGTCACGTAGCCGCACCTAATTCCATTGTTTATAAACCAATCAGATGCGAGTACATAACTTGTTCATCTGGTCCAGAATGAATGGTCTGGCCGGAATAACAAATTCGACGTTCAATAATTATTACTCTAAATTTGCCTTTTTCTGTCTGCATCCGCTGACAGTGTACATCTACCACAAAATTTGGACACCCGTCATTTTGCTAGCCTTTGTGTAGCTGTATAGCTACTCACAGGCTATCGCCTGATTACACTTTCACAAAATTATCTGTGATTACTGAAATACATCTTGTTGATATGAAAACGAAATGTACCTAATGCATGGAGTCGGAACATTCAAAAGGATTTCTAATTAGAAATCTCACCTATAACGTCAAGTTTTTGCGACTGATGGTGAAACCCTGCCTTTAAGGTCAATTAATATAAGGAAATTGTGGAAATCACGAGATGGATATTATTTCCATCAACAAAACAATGACAAAAGAATCAAAGCAAACAAAGACTAAGACTCTTTTTTTTTTTTGGTGGCTCTGAAAGGGGCCATTTTGAATGGCTCCACCAAGAGCCATTTTAATATTTTCTTGAACTTTTTGTACAAGGAAGAATTATCTGGTTTTTTTTTTATAAGTTTCTGATTTTACTAGGCTATGGATTGAGGTCATAAGAGTATGTGAGGCTTCAAAATAACTACTTTTGGAATGATCACAGTTTCGTTAGACATGAGAATTGTGAATGTTTTTGTTTTTACTGCGATTTGAGTGCGTTTGAATAACACTAACGCTTTCGGTCATTGTGTAACTTTTTTGGGCATGAAGGTGACTGCCCTTAAGTCTGAAGGTGCCCATACGCCTAGATGTCTGTTTATATTATGAGGTTCTTTCAAAATGTAGCCATTTGGCAGGTGCCTGATGACATAGATCCAATTTAAGTTTAGGTTTCAATGCCAGTATAAGTTTAGCCTATAATCAAGGCTGTGGTCTAAGAAAAATTATGAGGAGCCCAAAGGTTCCCAACCATGAAATCCTGGGTGCCCAGCACCTAAGCTGATATGAATAAAAGCAAGTTTTTCCACTTGCCCAGAGGCAAATGGTAGTCCCCTGTTTTACCCAGGCACTTCTAGAGTAAAGCCCTGCTAATATAGTGTATGCATGCAGACCAATGTGCAGTTTTCCCACCTTGCTGAGATGTACCAAAGACCATTTTAGCCCCAAACAGGTACAGCAAGCATGTCCCTCTCTGTCATTATAATCATAACAGGGAGCTGAGGCCCCCATCACACCACTGTATCTTTGAAGGGGAGTAATCTTGGGCAGTCCAAGATAGGTGCACATAGCTAACATCTTGTCAATGATGTCTTCAACTACAGTACCAGGAAGTCATCAGTAACACTGCAGAGATATTTTGCCCATATTATGAATGTGAATATCCGAAATGTCAGCAAGTGAAGGAGGGACTGGAACGTCTCTTGCGTGACAGATACAGAAATGACATCACCAGCTTTGTTGACAAGTTTGTTCATCCTACGCTGAGTCTGCTCAGTGATTTGCAGGCACAGGTATTTGTACGTTTGTGATAAGCTTCTGCATGAATATAAAACATACTTAATATCTGATCCATGACCCTGCAATGAAATAATGGAACAGTGTACTGTACACTGAACCTGTCTCTGTAATAAAGTTTTGTTAGATTGGCATTGCACATGTGAACCTGGGGGTGGTACTCTGTAGATCTTTGGGTGGGGGTGTGCCGCTGAGATACTGAAACCCTTACCCTATTCTGGACAATGATCAGCTTGATATTGCAATCCTATCTAGACTGGCAATTTTCTATGCAGAAACTTTATTGCCATAGTAGTTCAACATACATGTACGCTAACTAAAACCATATAAAGTCACTTGTGAGGTTCAATTTCAATTGCAGATTATATATTATCCTTCAAATTTCTTTCGCAATACGTGCAGTTTTGAAAATTGGGAATATCACTTGGATATTCCCCAGTTTTAGTTGGGGAATATTCAGTCACATTCATGTGACATGTTTAGGCCAATCACATACAAGCGAAAATATCTTATGGATACCGGTAATAAAGATAATTATACCCTATTCTACACCAAAACTGTCTGATTTCTAGTATGGACTAGCCCAGACGAAACTGCCTGAAATCCATACCCTTCAGAGCCGAACATACTGTACATAAACAATAACCTCCATTTGGCGTGAAAATATGCATGAATATTTGTCCGCGGACATTATCTGGTCTGAGAAGCGAACAGTTTGCCGAGAGCATAGCTCGAGGAAAAGTGTGAGCTTCAAGGAACAGATAATGTCCAAGGACAAATATCTGACCATATTTTTGCGCCAAATGGAGGCTCTTGTGTTTATTATCCTTCAAATCTTTTTTGCAACATGGGCGGTTTTGAAAATTGGGGAATTGATTCTTGGATATTCCCCAGTTTTAGCTGTAGATGTGAATCCCTGGAGCTGGAGAGAATTCAGAAGAGAATTCAGCTGTATTTATTTTAATAGGTCCTAAAAGCCTAGTTTTCTAATGCAAATGTTCTAATGCTGAGTAACTCATACAGTATTCTATCATGTCATCTGTACACTTGTACAAAATGGTGAGCCTTGTTTCTCAGACATTTTGGTGGAAGATTTTATTAGAAGTTCTATTGTAGAGGACAATTCAGTTCCCAAGACATTCAGCCTTAAACTACCTTAAAAACTTGAGCTTGTTGATTGAACTGATGCCGATGTGTGTACCCAGCAGCAAGCTTTTGGTTTCAAATGACAATTCAGACCATGCATGATTTCAGTCAAGTGCACATGACTTACTCAATTGATATGAAATGTAGAGAAAATGAAAATCATTATTGGGAAGTTGGTGAGAATCCATTATTAAACATAATCATAATTTTATAATTGATTCTTAGTTTTAGCTTTAAAACTTTATAACTCAATCATTGTTTTGCAATTAGCCTGTTAAAATGCAAGCAGATTCTGAGCATCTTTAAAAGGTTAAGGAGGCTCTGAATGCATTCCCACGATTTCTTTTTTACACTTGGCTAAAAGTTGAATCTAATGGCATGGTGATTACAGTTTGATAATACTTAATACTGGAATTATTTTTTGGGTGATACAGGCTGTAATAAAGCTAAACTTAAGTTATGATTTGTCACCATATACCAAGGCTAATGGTAACTCAGTGTCAGAAAATGACTACTGACAACTTGTTCATAAATAGATTTAATTTTATAAATGAAAGTTTAACACCATGATTATGATGGCATTAACTAAAAAAAGAGTGGTAGTATTGATTCACCAAGAAGTGCAGGAAAAAATGCTGTAAAACTTTCTGAATTATTAATTTTCAATTTAAATATTTTCATTCTCTTTTAATTTCTACTGCAGCATTTTCCCCTTTGCTCCAATGGTAAAGTTGTTCTTCATCTTGTGCCGCCTGTACCTCAATTGGAGCTTGGCGAGTTCTTTTATCAGGTTTGTGTAATCTGTAGATTTTATGGTACTTTGCTTTAAAAAGTGTTTATTTTGTTCTGGTCACCTACATGTATCATTAGCCATAAATTAATTTTGAGGAATACTTGTCTAACGAATTACCATTATGAGCAGGGAAGCCTATTCAAGGTTTTAGATATTTAGTAGGCTTCAGGACTGAATGTTGTTGGCACCACTATTTTTTTTTTAGTTATGTACATTATTATTTTGTGTGGTGAAATTAGAATTTCAGCACATATTATTTAAAATATCATGATAAAGTATAAAAATATCAATTGATGATGGTGTGGATCATTTAAAAATCGCCCCTTGTGGGGGGGAAGGCCTCTTTCTCCTGATTTTTTTCTACCCTACCAGAAGCTAATTTCCAAAGAGCTGTTTTGAACTGGTGAGGTAAGACTCTGTCCCTTGGGTCTCCTTACTTTCTCTCCAACTTTTCTTTGACATTTTTTGCCCAGTCACTTTGACTTTCTCCCACCCCCACTAACTTCCCCTGGGTCTCCAAGGATGTCTTTCTCATTGCATGTCTGAAAGGTGAGCGAATTCTTTGAACTGGTAAATGCTCCAGACCTCTTACTTGGGAAAAATTTAAGATGCGACCTTTTGTCAAGACAGGCCTTCTGATATTACACGATGGTGCAATTTCCCACAATCGACCTTAAATCGCATCCGATCNGAGTTTGTTTGACCATAAATACATGTAGCTTTCTTTCTCAGTCATGACCTGATCACTTTGCTGAACGCTTTAATTCAAAAATTTGATTGATATTAGACCATACTAGTGTCTCATGGGAAATCTCTGCCCCGGACCCGTCCCCTAAATTTCCACAATACACACCCCCCCTGTCTTTCCCAACCTCCCCAAACCCCCGGATTGACCACAGCAAATTTTATCCTGGGCTCCTAAAAAATGGCTTGGGCTCCCAACTTTTGAAGTTAGGAACCCAAATCCCCCCATCTATCGACACTATTGAGGCTGATTTGTGTAAATTTAAACTTGCCGATTTAATTTTTTTATATTTTCGAGTGGCAATTCCTGGTTTCCTTAGTCTAGATAAAATCTTCAACCAACTAGTCAGTTTTGGGAAAAATGATACCCTATTCTAAACCCAAACGCTCTGATTTATATACCCTATCCTAGAGTTAACTGCTTGAAAACCATACCCTTCACAGCAGCACATACCTATATAGCCCATTTATGGCAGTACCTCCCCCCCTCCCTGAGCAGAAAGGCTTGAGAAATGTTGCAAATCTGCTGCATATCAGCTGTACAGCTATTTTGAAGTGCTTCTGTGGTGCTGCACAGCGCTGCCCATTTTGTACGGGCTATTCTGTGATAGTGAGCGTAGCAGTGTGCCCTTGTTAACAACATGACGGCTGCTTCTTGGCTTTTTCGAAGTGTCTGTGAAGACGATTTAGATAAAGTTTTGAACAACTTCGCTCTCAATTTCTATGCATGATAGTTGACTCGGGCACAGCCCTTGTCAACCATCACACATTTTAGTTCACCACTAAATTTTCTCTCATTCTTATTGGTTTAAATTGATCACGTGGTGCGACAGTGTTCGTCCGCGGAGAGACACTATCAACCCATAGTGCCCGTCCGCGGAAAATAGTATACTAATGGAAATGCTGCAATCTGTTTGGCTGAGCTACTCGTATACTATCAGCCATTAGAGTGCAGTGGCTGTCAGTCATCCACGAAATGCCATGTTTTTATCATTTTTTTTTTTTAAGTTTTGGAAAAAAGTTTAGATGTAGATGGATAATTAAATTCCTGAGAAGACTAAAAGAAGGACGTTGACAGTTTCTTGACTTTAAAAACTTGAAATTATTGAAAAAACGGGTGCACGCAAGTAAACAACTGCAAATTTACCGAAGACAGTTCAATGTGTGTGATTTTGTTAAAGCGTAAAGTTCAATAAAATTAATAGAAACCGTTACTTGCGTTTATTTTAGTTAGAATTCTACTAAAACAATTAGATTATTCGCTCTCGATTTCTATGAGGTGATAATCTAATTGTTAAATAGATCTCGGCTCATAATCTAACCAATTACTGTTTAAAAAAAACACAGAAATATGGCATGAGCTGCTGATGTAAGCTTATAAGATGGTGCAAGTCTGTGATTTTCCTGTCACTTTCTTGCACCGTTGTCTAAGAGGAATAAAAGTCCAAACATTTTCTCCGTGTTTAAACAGAGTTATAGAAACACTGCTGCAAGTTTGAGACAGCTCGAAAAAGCTGTGGTAAAGCACTTATGATTGCAGCTCCTTCGAAGTCCCACAGCATTTTTCGTGTTCAGCCAAACTTCCTCTTTTGTTTCTGTAACTGTAAACGCTTTCTGTTTCTCAAATAAGCTTATACCATGGTTTTAGGTTCATTGTTTGTTATAAATCATTATCATTGTTATCAATATGCATAATTGTTTATTTTCGACTTACAGTTGAGGATCATACAAGGTGTGTGCACGATATACGGCGACATCTACTCCTGATTCTTGAGCGAGCAACCGTATTGCTGCATCTCTTTCCCTTCCAAACGGTTCGGAATCCTCCTCGAATGTTAGAAGAGAAATTTTCCATTCACGAAACAACCGAGGAAAAACATCAGTCGGTTGCCCTCTCACGACAAATAGGCGTGAATTCAGTTTGCGGAGACTGTCGTCAACGTCTTCGAGCGACTGTAATAAGAATCTCCATAGGTTTACACCAATTCCATTTTGGCTGTCAACTTTAGTGTCCAGCACGTAAATAACCCTCACGGTATCACTTCCTTTGACTGCCTCTAAAAGCGAAGGGTTGTCGTGCAAACGCAAGTCCTTCCTGACCCAATGAATAGCGTGTTTATCCTTTTTCGCTGAACCTTTCTCCGCACTAACTACAGGATTGTCCTTTCTGTAAATTGTAGCATTAGACGACATTATGTCTGGCTTTTACTTCTTCAAAGTGTTTTGTATTTGGCCTCGTGGAACATTCGCAAGTAATGTGGTTTTCTGACTTTTCTCCCATGTTGTCTTGAACTCGAAAAGATGAGTCAGCCCATACTTGCGAAAATAGATAGACGCAATTATTTCATTACCGTTCGCGAATATGATATTCTTTTTTGACTCGCAAAATTTCGTGGTGCATCATTGAACATTATTTGTTATATAACAAGGGTAGTTTCAGAAAAACGTGCACTGTCCACGTGCAACGAAACCTCTGACTGAAAACAACGCCTCGAGGGCAAGGAGGGTTGTCCAATGAGAGAATAGAATCCGTACTCTCCCGGAGGGGAAAATTGCCCGCACGTGCAGGCGACACGAGACTGTTTTAGATAGGCAAGCAATGCGTGGAAAATAAAACCTGTAACTTCAGGTACGAATCGTCGCATTTTTTTTCGTCTTCTATTTCCGGGGAATGAATAAATTTTTACAAAAAAGGAAACTTTGGGCCGGGTCGCACTCACACTAGCGTAAAAAGTTGTTTGTTTTACAAAAAATCCGTCATCACATAGGTTTTTCTCGTGCGACCAATTTGTTTGACATTTTCAAAAATGCGCGGAATGTACCAAATGTTCAAAGACACTGGCACTTGAAAGCTCTGGAGCTCGTTTTCAGAAAACATCAAAAAAACTTTCAAGCTGTCGATCATGAAGCAAATAGTACATGAAAAACGGGGTAAAATTAATTTTGCTTTCGTTTTTGGCGGCAACCTTGTGCGAAGATGGATCCCTCGGCCATATGCTAGCCTGCGAACAGGCTCCCGGTGAGCCCGAACGACGCGAGTCCCCGCCCCGATCGCTTTGCTCTCCGAATTCTTCTGTTTCGCGCTCGCCGAAATTTTTTTCAGTCCTCGCCGGGAGCCTGTTCGCAGGCTACCATATGCAAGATGAAGAATACAAAAGCAGAAACCGACACAACGCAGGATGATTTTTTGAAGGTGTACTATATGCAAGATCACCACAGGGTCACCGTACGTTTGCTACACCACAGCCTTCGAACAGGCTGCTGGCGAGGACGGAAAAGAATTCGGCGGGCAAAGCGAGTGGACGATCGCGAAACTCGCTTCGTTCGGGCTAGCCGGGAGCCTGTTTGCAGGCTTGTGACATCAAAGTTGGCTGCTATTGTCAAGTACGAGATTGCATGTGCAAGACGGTAAAGACCAAGAGCTAGTACTTTCTTTCTCTGAAGGAACGCAATGTTCGTGTTTTGCCTCAAAAGAAAAGGATAACCAGCTGATTGAGAAGGACATCAAAAGGATCTCTCTTCATTCGTAGCTGACTTTTGAAGTAGTGGGATAGAATTGCTAGGTGTATTTGAAACCATGACCGGGTTGAATAGTCTTTGCTGTATGCGCTGTCTGATCTCACGCTCATATTCTAACAACGCCAGTTGATAGACATAACCTGTCAATCATAGCCTGCATATAAGTTAAAAGGCATAAATTCAAGTTACAAGTTGATCAAAAGCGAAAGCGAAAATCTAAAGCTAAAGCTGCGTCACGTGGTTCCATGATAGTGCACTGAAACTCAAAATGAACACACTTTGGCGGGAAAGGAAATTTGTTGACACATTGATTAAATTACGTGCGACCCAAAACATGCCTAATTAAGTACCGGAAACAGAAATTTTTTGGCAACAAAACAATTCTGTGCGCTAGTGCGACCTGAGCCAAAGTTTCCGAAAAACTCGAAAAATTCGAAAATCGTCAAGTTTCCGTAATGTGAACCTGCGCAAATTCCGGGAAGAATGGAAGTCAGTAGCCAGCGCTCCGAGCTGGCAGCGGGAAACTGGAATCTTATTTGGAAGCGCGGGTGTCAGCGCGGGTATAAATGAATCCAAGATGGCGCCACGCAGCAATCCAGTGACGTTCTTAATATCATCTAATATCGCTGTAAAATGCTGTTCATTCTTCATTTAGAGAGCTATATATTATCGCGTAGCTCTGTATTAGTGACTTAAAAATGGGAAGTAATCAGAATGGAGATGTACATGGCAGGCTTTCGAAGATTTTGAATACGTTGCGCGAGATATCAGAAGTTCTTTCTCCAAGCAGTGTTGAAGACAACTGCAGAATAGATTCAGTAGTTTCTGCCATTGAGTCAAGCGCTTCTGAACTTCACGACTTGGTTCTGGGAAAAAGAAACAAGGATACCTCAAAGGATTCAGGAAACACAAGCTTCACAGAGGTACGTTGCGTTTATGGTGCGGCTCATGATCAATAAAACAACCAAAGAAACGCAGATTGTTGACTAGGGCTGAGATTCAGACTGAGGATATAATACAGACTGCAAACCAAGTTAAAGTTGTGGATTAAAGCACGAAATAGTTAACATACGTACAGTAAAGAGCAGCATTCAAATAGTTTGCATGTAAATTTTTACTACTGGCCTGTAGTTTGTAGCTTGTTTTTGAATACTTTCGTAGTCTGCAGTCTGTGTTTTACACTGGCAGTCAAAAAAAAAATTAGTTAAAGAAAATATGTTTCTTGCATAGACCATCTTGAGCTTAAACCTCTTTTTTTCTATTATTGTGTACCGATTTTTTTTAAACATTTTTCATTCATTCATGTTCAAGATATAAGGACTGGGGCAGATTCGACCTATTCTCCCCCACCCCCCATCCCACTGCCGAGGCTCTTTCACAGTTTTGAAAAGTATATAATATTATTTTCTGTGGTGTGCATAGATAAAAAATATGTAGCACAAGATTCATGCATGTGCCAAACATTGTGGACCTTTGGGATGGGGATGCAGTCATGTTTCTCAGACTGTTTCATGAACATGACCGGACATCTTAGATTCATGGTCCAACATAGATACAGCCCATTTGATTTCTGAAATCTGTGTCTTTAAAGGTCAGTCAGTTTCAACATAGTAAACACCAGGCTTGAAAAAAGTCCAAAAAAACTGAGTTGTTTTTGCATACATTATTTCTCGAAAACAAAACACAAATCAACAAAAACAGTTATGCAACGGTGCTTTTCATGTCAAAACAAGTCAGTCTGCCAAAATTAGCTGGATCCTGCAAAAAAGTAAAAATCAGCCCAAAAAGCGACATACACCCTTTTTGCTTGAAAGCCTTCAAATGGTCTTTTTTTCAGCTGTTATTAGGGTCATCACATAATGCTTCTCCCCCACTAACAAATTGTTGCGTGACCACCCTAATAATGGCTGCAAAGGATACTACCAGTCCAAAGAGCAAACTGGAGGTCAAGTTTTGTTTTAGCCCTGTATGGAAAAGTGCAGTTTGTGCAACTGATTTTGTACACTGTGCCAGAATTGGTCCATCAACCTAACTCTGGGTTTTGGATGCATGGTTTGATGGTAACTGGTTAAATTATCTGGCTATAAGCCTATGACTCAAAGCAGACTGGTCTGAAATATAGCAGAGGTTTGAGGTTCGTAGGTCCAAGGTTTGTAATGAGGTAAAACAATGTTTGTACCATTTCTTTTCATTTCACATACATTTGTCTAAGTGTATTACGGTATATCCAAATTATGTGCCGGATAATTCAGCTTTACCTTTTTTTTCAGGATTTGATAGATGCTAGTGAAGAACAGGCCTTGAACAGTTCTAACTTTGATGGTTCAAATGACCTGATTGAGTTGAGTGATGATGATGAATTTGATGAAGTAATGGCTGAGGTGATTATTAAGCTATGTGGTATTTTAAAGCTTTGCCTGTGCAGAGACTCAAATCATTGTCAGTGGAAGACGTTTTTGGTATTTTGTTAGTTAATGATGTGCATTTTCTTTTGTTAATTGCATTAACTTACAAAAACTTTAACTTAGCTTCAGTTTATTGAAACTCAAATATTCCAAGCAAGTCTTGCCAGTTTTTTATTTGATATTGTGATCAGTGATATGTGTAGTATATAACTGTGAGCTCACCAAGTCACCATTCTACTGTCTATTTAAACCATGTAGTGCATATCAGAATCTGTACCCCCCCGGGGGGAGGGGTAATTTGGGAATTTCTGGGTGGGAATGTGCCGCTGGGACCCTGGAACCCTTAGCCTATACCAGAGCTAGTTCAGCTGAATTTTGCTAACCTATACTAGAGTAAACTCCCCAAATCCCCCCATCTATCGACACTGTTGAGGCTGATTTGCGTAAATTTAAACGTGCCAATTTGATTTTTTTATATTTTTAAGTAAAGCTTTAAAGTCAATCGTTAAAGTGCAGTTAATGGAGCATGACGCTATTTACGTACAGTCACTAGCTTACTGTTGTTAAACGTAACACAATAGAACTGTTACGTGTTAGAACATTATAGAAGTCTTTCTTGTCTAGTTTAAACAATATTCACAATAGCCTTTCACGCATGCATGTTACAACAACATCTGGTTTAACTATATTGTGCGTTTTGTATGGCTAGTCTTTTAAATGGCCCCATTCTTGTTTTGTTCAAGGCCGCATGGGCTCTGTACATTTCATGGTACACGATTTTATATTGGTTTNTGGGGAGATAAGTAAGGCTTGAGAACTGTCTACACTCTAGCACGATGCTGACCGGAGGTCAGCTTGTAGTTTTTTTCCATTTTTTTTCCATATATTCTGTAACTTTATTGCAATATTTTTTTCCGCTTGGCCCAGCCACTTAGCTCAATTAGCCTTAGCTATTTCTAAGTGGCTGTGCTCTGTTTTTCTATGTTATTTTTTCACATTGGATGTATTTATTTTTATTGTAAAATTTTTCTGGGCACAAAATAAAGATTGTTGTTGTTGTTGTTAGTGCCGTTTAGAGTTATGCTACTAGGACGCACAAGCTTTTGGCCTTGCCGACTTGTTCGATCCAGTGCACCGCTGGGGAGATAAGTTTGGCATTTGGTCACGCAATGGAAGTTCGTCTGTCATGCCGATTGCGGAGCGGTGTTCCCCCCTTTACGCCATAGAACGCGTGTTTATTGCTTGTGTTTGTCGGGGTATTTAAAGCATTACTCCCTAGGAACTGCAGCATTAATGGCAATTCCTGGTTTCCTTAGTCTAGATAAAATCTTCAACCAACCAGTCAGTTTTGTGAAAAATTATACCCTATTCTAGACCCAAACGCTCTGATTTATATACCCTATCCTAGAGTAAACTGCTTGAAACATACCCTTCACAGTAACACATACCTATATAGCCCATATATGGCAGCGCCCCCCCCCCCTCGGGTCTGTACCATAGAAAATACAGCTAATCATGATACGGGAAAACCATTACAGTATGTACTTGACAGCATTATACTCAGCCTTCCCATCGTATGCTTTTCATATGTCGCATTGATTGTGTTGGCCACTGTATATTCTATGACTTGGTATAAAATAGTTATGCAACACTCTCTTGTGGTATACCATGGAAAATCCCACTTGTCACTTGCATTTTCTTGAAACACACTCACCTAAAGGCCCGTATATATAGCAAGAAAATACAAGTGGATTGTGGGTTATTCCATGGTATACCACTTGAAAGTGCGGATAACAACTTAGGTATATATTCAGCTTTATATTTATAACTGTCTTCTTTAGGTTGACATCGAAGAATTATGCAATCAAAGCCAGGTTGAGTCAAAGATTCTAGACGCTGGCCACTCAGATACACTAGATCAATTGCCAGAAACTGAAGGTAACTGCAGTGGATAGTTTGACCTGCACTTCTTCATTATTAATTTTCAATAAAATCTATTGATTGCTTGCTTAGTAGGTTTAACCTAAATATTATTTTCTCTTTTGTTGATTCTGTCGGTCTTCCCTGAGCAACAGCTTTGCAATTAAAATGTAGTAACTCCATAGCAGTGAAATCTTTTGATTAAGATGGAGAAGAACAATCATTTTTAGTTGTTGTTCTTCACAGTCTATGTTTCTCAAGTTGATTATCACAATTTGTAATTGTGAAAACAATAAAACTGACAGCTTGACTGTGGCTGCGTTAATCATTTGGTTAGGTTGGTACAACTCAACCACAAACTAAATCATGGTGCAAAGCTCCATTGTTTCCTGAGACAGATGGACGCCAGCAACAGGTTGTTACATATTTCCTTGAAAAGTAAAACTTGTTTCAGTTTTCCTGCAAAAGTGTTTTTTTTTTTACTTTCCTCTATCCAGAGGCAAATGAAATAAAACCAGACGCTGAGCATGTTGAGGTCCTAAAGAGATACTTTGGCCACTCCAAGTTCAGACCGTAAGTGAAGGAATTTCCCTAATCTACAATTAATGTAGTTAGAAATTTGAGTTATAAAGAAATTGAATAAACATTTAGATTTGTGAAAGTAACGAACCTTCCATCAGAATAATTCCATCCCCACCCCATGTATCAGTCAATATTGTATTAATTTTGTTATTAATAATTTATGATGTATTACTTTTTTGCAGCATGCAGTGGAAGATAATCAATGAAGTGCTTAATTGGAAACAGGATGTGTGTGTTGTAATGGCTACAGGTATAACAAATTAAGAACATATAGATTTTTTAATACTTAATGAATAAATTATTTTCTAAACAAGAGATGAGAGTGCAGGAACTAGGAAGTGTGGCAGTGCTGTTGCCTTATGCTGCAGAGTGCATTTATCATTGGATGATTTTTCTACTGGCTGCTTGCTTAGAAATGCTTGACTTTTTTCTCTGCTGTTTGTTCAGGATATGGGAAGAGTTTGTGCTATCAGTATCCATCTTTATACACTGGAGGTACAACAGTTGTCATCTCTCCCTTAATCTCACTCATGGAAGATCAAGTCACTAAACTTGGGTAAAGTCCAAAGCTTCCTTTCCATTAGTTACTGTTTTTTCTTTACACTTACAAGTGGTTACCTTGTTATCTGGTGGCTATCTTGCACATGCAGGTGTAGAAAATATGTTTCCTTTTTCATTCATGTGTTGTCCATTGTTTGAAATCTAAGTTTTTGCAAAGAAATAGGATCATGTGTACTAAAGGCATCCGCAGACAAGTGTTGATCGATACCCTCAATCAATACCCTTGATCGGCACTTGGTCGATACTCGATTTATACTCCATTGACACCTTAGTTGACACTTGATTGACCCTCCATCGACACCTCAGTTGACACTCAGTCGACACGCCATCCACATCTCGTCAAGAGTCAATCAAATTTTTGATCGAGTCATATAAGTCCATCGACACTTGGCCGACTATCAACTGACTGTTGATCAAGTGCCGATAGAGTTCCGATCAAATATCGATCGGAATGTTGATCAAGTACAGATCAAGATTTTGATATCGATCAAGAGTATCGAGTGACACTCAACCGCGGATGCCTTTGGTACACATGATCCAAGAAATATATGTAAGGCATACATTTCAGTTGGCAAACATGAGTTTGGAACAGATTCATATGAAACTGTCCTCGGCTATGTTTACAATTCTGACTTGATAAATTGAGCAGTTAAGCTTATTTTTTTTGTTTGAATGTGAAGGTCCATCAATGATTTTAAGCTACATCTACAGTAATATGCAGTAACAAACAAGACCTGTTTACAAATTTTCCAGAAAGTATCTCAGAAATTCAATGCCTCAATAGTTGATGAAATTTAGTTTAAGAATGAGGGTAAGAACAAAAGAAATAGTAACATTTTTGGCTCACAGCTGGTGAAATGGAGCCAATATAAGTTTTGATGAAAAACTTGGTAATCAAATGAAATGCAGTTGATCGCAATATTATTGTGATCAACTGCACTCCAAATAATTATGGTTGGGATCATTGATAAACATTCCTTTCAGAACAAAGTGCTTCAAGTGCAAATAAAGGCTACAATTGTAATTATTATAATAATTTTATCATTTTTGCAGGCTTTATAACATTCCAGCTTGCTACCTTGGATCCGCTCAAAGCAATAGTGCTGAAGTAAAAGCTGGAATTTTACGGTAACTAACTGACCACTTTACCTTCCAATGCCCTGGCCCGCAGTAAATCATTAGACCTCATCAGGCTATCGAATTTGACTTTCATTGTACTTTGCCTGTGTGATTAATTTTGATAATTTGTCACAGTGGGGAATACAGAGTGGTGTACTTGACTCCAGAATATGTTTCCCTGGACACTGGATTTTTAGCTTATGTGCAGAAATCTGTAGGTAAGGAATACCCTAGATCATAACAAATAATCTAGTAAATATTGAGAGAGCTGGCAGTGGGGTTGTTGAAAGGATTGGTAAAACTGTCTACCTGATAATTCATTATCCAGTCTATAAGAAAACAAAGCACTGGTAGGCTACCCATCGGATACCAGTGATTTACTTTCCTTTGTCTATAAAATGTTATCCATTCTTTGAACAGCTACGCCCCGGATACCAAGTTTGTTGCCTTGACCATTCAGTCTTTGTCTGAAACGTTTTCTGAAAATCAACATGAGCCATCAGACTATTGACTATACTGGTAATACTTATATGACATTCTAACAGGTTCTATGGCTAATGCAGAACTCCAAGCAGGAAATAAATTAATAAAACCTTAATGACTGGGTTATATGAAGTTCAGCTTAAATATTTAATCAATTTATCTGCCATTAACACCAATAATTGGTGTTAATGGTAACTTCTTTTCTAGAGACCATCCTGATTGAATTCAGTTCTTTGCTCTGAAAGACTGTTAAACAGATTTTTAAAGTCTTCTCTCCTGAGGAAGCAATCCTCAATTTCTGTCTAATGCAGATGGCCTGGAAGTTAAGGCAACCTTAAAAGAAACCTAGCCTTTCATCGACTTCAAGATCAGGACACCTTTTTATCAGCAGAAAGCTGTGTCTGCTTTATTGTAATAAGATGTACATATGAATAACACAAATAATGATAAATATAATTTACATATGAACCAAACAGGATTTGCAGTTGTTGTGTTTTTGGTCCTTTTATGTTTTCCTTCAATGTCTTTTGTCGTTGTCACCTTTAACTGACAGCTACATTTATTATGTTTCATTGTAACTTTTAAAACCAAGGTTCATTTTCCCACAGGTCTAACACTAGTTGCAATAGATGAAGCACATTGTGTGTCTCAGTGGGGACATGACTTCAGATCTTCATATCGGTCACTTGGATGTATCAGGGATAAACTACCTCAAGTAAGGAGATAGAGACTTATTATGTCATTTACTTGCTGCTTGTGAAATTAAAGTATTTTTGCATCAGGAATCATTTGTAAGTGTCTGAATCACCTACGATAGTGCAACACAGCCCTTTTATCATAATTTAATGCTGTTCGAAATTTCCGTTGAGTTATATTAGTATTTATTCTCCTCCATCACTTGATTGGTCTGAAAAAGAGAAGGGACCAAAAGTTTTTAATTTTTTTTTTTGGTCTCAAATTTCTTGTTATAATAAAATAATACTGGTACTTAAAGGATTACCAAATAGTCTAACAAGGACAACAAAAAAATGAATGTATAGTCAGATTACAGAATTTCTATGTTGACAAATTGTAGGGCATTATAAAGTAATCCTTCATAAAAATAAATTATCTTTAGTTAAAATTGTGTTTTGAATACATGCTAGGTACCTATTGTTGCACTGACAGCTACAGCCACTCCTACTGTGAGACGGGATATCTGTCAGTCTCTGAGGTTGAGAAATGCTGCATTTGTTTGTACAGGATTTGACAGGTGATGTTTGTCTTTCAAGTTTTGAAGGAAGGGGGAGGGGTACAACTTGTAGAAGGGAGGAAGGAGGAGCACAGCCTCAGCTTCCTGAACAAAGGTAGTCATAGAATCAAATGACTTCCAAAAATTAGTATTGTGACATGTCTTAAGGTGTACATGTCTGCACGGAGCAGCTGGCAAATTGACCCTACAATCGGCGACAAAAGTGTTGAGACACTCGGCAGTAAAATTTGATTTTCGAGTGTCTTGGAAACATTTCCTCCCCTTCCCCTCAAACAATGTTGAGTTTTCTATTTCTTAGACTGCACAGACAACAGCGCTTACACAACATTGATTTGGGGGGCCGGGGTATCAGAGAATTAACGCTACATGTAAGTAAAATAGAATAAGAGTTTAAATTAATATCGAAAAGTGCCATTTTCTAAAAGTGCCTCAACTACTTTTGTCACCCGTTGTAGTCTGACTGTTAAGCTAAAATATGCACCTTTTACTACAGTATGACAGTTATATAGTCTTTTTAGGGGAAAAAATTTACACCACTTGCCCAAAAATAGTAAACTATATATTAACTTATCTCTGTTGGTAACACCTGTCCATAATATACACCCCTTTTTTTTACGCTGATACAAATACCTGAGAATTCTAACTAGTACGTATAAGTTAATTAATGTTAGTCATAAATGGGAAAAAGTATTTTATAAAAGTCTTGTCCCAATGACTTTCCCAATTAAACTCTTGGAAATATTTTTCAATGTGAAAGCTACATGTATTCTTACTTGTAATCATTAAATGCAATGTTGTTATTGCAGACCTAATTTATACTTTGAAGTAGAAAGAAAGTCTGGCAGTATAAAGGATGACTTAAAACCTCTCCTGATAAGATCAGCAGATAGGTAAGACTATTTATGAATGTTACCGAGTGAGATTGTAATCCATTCTAACATAATGTATTTGTTAAGAAACCTTGTATTAATGTAGAGCGCCAGCTTATAAAAAAAAACAACTGTGTTTAAAATGTAGAGTGCTGAGGAAACCGTATTGAATGAGAACTGGGCATGTTTGTTTATAAGCCACCGGATACAATTTCTAATCAAACAAGGCCATCACAGGCATGCATTGCTTGGGCTATCTTGATGCAACCCTTTGTATGCTTTAAATGACTGTGATGCTACAAAATGCTAATCCAGGGATGACACTCAATTTTTGGTTTAATTTCCCTCCTAATGATGAAAGCATGTTTATCACTAATGTTTTGTGGAATTTGACATCACAGTAAAAACTGAACGGAATAAAATTTAACATCTCAAGTCACCAAATGAATTTAAATTGTGAATGAATCAAAATTCATATTAATCTTAGATTAGCTTAACTGTGCTGGCACAGATCTTGCAGTGGATGAAATGCACATGTCCACAGTAACTTGTCAACTAACAAGAAGATCTGTTAGATCTTATAACCGCGCTTTTAAAATTTAACTGTTTGCTTAGCACTACCGTCGGAACGGAGTGCACATTCCAAAGTAGTC